AGATAATCTTGCAGTCCAAAAATCAGTCGTTTACAGTTTCAAACTGCTGCTGGCGAAGCGGGTGTGATACAGGATTTATAGTGGCACCGGACATTTTCGCACGCAATGCCGGCCGAATCATCTGTGATTTCGTAAACATGGACGCTCGTGATAAGGAACTTTTTGTCGGCTGTCCACGTGCATCTTGATTAGTACGTGTGTTTTTACTTTATTTCCATGTTTAGTCTGTGGCCGTGGTTACACCGCTGACACCTCCGTTTCACCTGGCGTCAAAACATACGGGCCGCACAAATGTTTACGTCATTGCTGACTCCTGGATGACATTTACGGCACGTAAATGATACGTTGATACATATCAACAACCGATTTCAAGTCTTGTTTGTAATGTAAACAGCAGTGATATTGGACAAACTAATATGCGTTCGGCTATAAGGTAATGTACTTATTAACTACACAAGGTGCCAGTTACTCTAGCATTTGTCAACATTGCATAATCAATGGACCTATTATTTCTTTAAGTAAAATGTTTTGGTAAACACATGTAAAACTATGAGTTCCCACACCGGGAATCGAACCCGGGCCGCGGCGGTGAGAGCGCCGAATCCTAACCACTAGACCATATGGGAGCAACTTCTTGTATCCCAAGCAAAGATTTTTGTTCTTTTTTCTTTGTAGGAAATCGTATTTAAGTAAAATGTTTTGGTAAACACATGTAAAATTATCAGTTGCCAGACCGGGAATGGAACCCGGGCCGCGGTGGTGAGAGCGCCGAATCCTAACCATGCACTAGACTAGATGGGAGCAACTGACTATATGTTAGTGACGTAACACTGTCTGTTTGACTAAGTAAATGCATCTACATGTAAAGCCCTATAGTTAAATTATGTTGCCATACATCATCCTTTGATTGGATGCAATCTGGCTGGTCTATTCAGGGTTTCTTCTGAGGGAAAATTAGACAAAGGAGGTAATGGCCAGTTTGGAAAAAAAACGCACATGATGGATTCAAATACAGGATGTAATTGATATACTTATAGTTATAGGTATTCAACAATTTCAACATTTTCACAACAGCGATGTTAAATCTGACAACGACGGTGCGCCACTGTGCCTCTTATGTATAAGAAACCCTGTCTATTGCCGGTGCCTGGCAGATGTGCTGTTACATTGACTAGGAAGAAAAAACATGGTATGAAGTCGGGCGATTTTGTGGACACTACGCGACTGAGTCGGGCGACTCTGTGGATTTTCAGCACTCTGATTGGCTGTTGAATTGTACAATCGGCCGACTCAATCGCAGACCTGGGCACACTACACGATTGTAGCCGGCCGGCTCAAATAATTATCAAACATGTTTGAATCGAGCGACTTGGCCGGCCGACTCGAAAATCGATGCGCCTCACTGGACACACTACGCGATTTTTCGTGCGATCGAGCCGGCCGGCTCGGTTGGCCGGCTCGATCGCATGAAAAATCGCCTAGTGTGTCCACCCCTTAAGACAGCCGAGTCGGTTTAGAGTTAGTGTTTGCGTTAGGCATAGTGGGTAGTACTGCCGTACCCGTAGCCTCTGCGTAATTAGTTATTATAATTTTACCGGACACACGGTCTGGTAAAGGCGAATTTCTTGTCGGACCCGTGCAAAAATCACCGGTTTTGTCCGACGGTCCGACGCTTTTGGCGAGTTCTGATAACGTCGAACACTATGCAATATATGATAAGCAGGATGTACACCGCACGTGTATATATATCAAGAGTACATAATAGAGATCTCTAGTATTATGTACTCTTGATATATATGCAGCACAATTTTAATATATCCTTTGATACGGTATAGATTAGTATTAGCTAATGCGGGGTATTGTGTGTAATTGTGTGTTACCGAGAAGACACGTCAGCTCGCCGCCGTTGCACTGCATGACATTGGGTTGGTGTCCGGGCAACACTAATCAATGATAAAAATCGCTAGCCCGATCAATTTATTAGTAGTTTAGTTTGAGTATTCTCACTTCAGAGTTGGTCATGTGAAACAAGCAACTTCGCAATGTGAGTATAGAGTTTCAAAAATCTGCTCAGGTTCAGGATCAGGTAGCCCGACCAGGCTGTGTGCGACCGATTGTCTATACAGCCGGTCTTCTATGTAGCCGGTCTTCTAACCCTAGCAAGACCGTTTCTTGGAGCTAAGGTTCAGGTTGACTTACCAATTGAGTTTCCATTCCAGGCACAAGTTTGGGAGAGCCTATGTGGAAAAAGTCTGGCAACCAAGGCGACAAATGGCAGTATGGGCAGGTGTTCCTTAGTGACATTGGGACACGAAAACTCGTCTTTGAAGCTGCTGTTGGCAACTCATACTACTCAGACACTGCTCTCGACGATATATATGTCAACGTAGGACAGTGTCCACAAACAAGTAAGCATTTATATTGTTATATTGTTAAGTGGAGATTGTGCAACTGATTCTCAGGTATACGTTTCCACATTAGGAAGGTAAATGATTGTAACACTGTACTTACTGTTTATGTAAAACTACTAGCTACAACCTGCAGTGGCGGATCCAGAGGGGGGTGGTCGCCCAATTTCAGGGCAAGGGTATTTTAGCCTAACACCCTCCCCCCTCTGGCGCTTCATGCCCTTGAGCTCGCATGATTTGCCTCCCATCACGATTCCCCTCCCTAAATTTCACTTCTGAATCCGCCACTGACCTGGGCTGGACGGGGAAAGCGCCGAATCCTAACTACTAGACAATATCGGACAATTAAACTCTCGGTGATAACAGAGCAACACTTACCACAACACTGCATTTTTATGTTCACTGAAACCATTGCTAGGATTTAAACATGTAAAATCTTAGTTCCCACACTGGGAATCGAACCCGGGCCGCGGCGGTAAAAGCGCCGAATCCTAACCACTAGGCCATATGGGAGCAACTTCTTGTATCCCAAGCAAAGGTTTTTGTTTCTTTGTAGGAAATTGTATTTAAAGGAATAATAGGTCCATTGATTATGCAATGTTGACGAATGCTAGAGTAACTGGCACTTTATGTAGTTAATCAGTACATTACCTTATAGCCAAATGCCTATTAGTTTGTCCAATATCACTGCTAGTTACTAAGAAATGTCTAATTGAAATCCGCAGTCCAAAAATCAGTCGTTTACAGTTTCAAACCGCTGCTGGCGAAGCGGGTGTGATACAGATTTATAGTGCACCGGACATTTTCGCACGCATGCTCGGCCGTATCATCTGTGATTTCGTAAACATGGACGCTCGTGATAAGGAACTTTTTGTCAGGGCTGTCCACGTGCTTATTATTTATTACCTGATACTCAATGATTTATAGCTAAGAAACATCAAAGGGCGGGTATACGCGCCATCCTACACTCGTCACCAAATTGTGGATATAAGCGATTATTTAGTGTGTGAATAAATTAAATTTTGATAATGATTATATAGTAATAGTACTTTATGTGAGTTATAATATCATTGATAAAATAAATTTACTCACACCTATATAAATTATATCGTCATAAGGATGTACTGAGCCTAATGCGAGTTCTCTCATATACTACCTGCTTCGTTCATCCAGAAGAGTACGTCGATGTAATTTGCTCACATTAACACTGACGTTGAATTCTCACTTCACTCATGTTGTTCGCTTTCTCTTTGTTGGTTACGCGCTAGCGCAGTTTGTTCATTGTGCCCACCCGACGTGGTTCATCTTAAACCTCAGACAAACATTGCAAAACTCAAGAGTCGTGAGCGATCCTAAATACTATAGACTTCCCCACACCGGAGGACATCCGAAAACCGGTTGCCGCTGTTTCGGTGAGGGAGGCGCCGAATCTATTCTACCTACGATCATTATACCTTCGGGAGCAACTTGTTTTGTATCCATTAGGCAAAAGGGGTGGTCCGTTTCTTTGTATCCGGCTACATTGTATTTACAAGGATTATAATAGCCACTTGATTTTATGGCAATCGTGTGACCTAGATGCTGAGGGAGTAATCACTGGCCGTCACGGTGTGTGGTCAGTTGAGAGTGAGCCAGCTCACAGCTATCAGCATTACTATGCGCATAATGCCGTATTAGATATTGGTCCAGAGTAGTCAATCTTGGCTCGGTTATCCTTCGTAATTGAAATTGTCGGTAATGAACCTCCCGGCCGTCCCGTTCTTTATCGCGGGTCGGCAGTTCCCTCCAAAAATCATTCGTTTGAGAGCAGTTGTCAAACTGCTGCCCGGGCGAATGCGGCGGGTCGTGATAAACATGATATTTATAGTGGGCACTGACTAGTTTTTGCACGCATTGCTCGGGAGCGCAACGGCCATGTCGACCGCACAATGCTAATACATGCAGTGATTTCGTTAAACATGGAGCCTCGTCGAAAGGAGAGTAAGAACGTGTTAATTTTCAGTATGACTGTCCACGTGAAATTGAGTATGTCGGAATGTGAGTGAGCAATATCAACAACGCCGACTCTCTGCGAAGTACTTGGTTAAAAATGTAATAGTAAAAAACCAGCAGCTGATAAAGTCTGACAAAAAACTACAGAGAATATGAAACACGTTTGGAGCCTAGTGTGGGGAAGGTGAATGTCCCTTAAGATTAACAGTACATAGAGCTCAGAGTGCCAGTTACTCTAGCATTTGTCAAGCATTGCATAATCAATAGACCTAATTACACTTTCTTCTAAGTAATGTTTTGGTAAACACATGTATAAACTATGAGCTTCCCGACACCGGGAATCCGCACCCTGGGCCGCGGCGCGTAGAAAGCGCCAGCCGCCGCAATCCTACACCCTAGAGCCATATGGGGCAACTTCTTGGTAGATATCCCAGCAAAGATTTTCCGTCTTCTTGGCTAGGAAACTCGTATTTTAATAAAAATGTATCTGGTAAAACATGTAAAATTAACTCACGTTTACCGACCGGATGGAAAACTGGGCCCGCGTGTGAGAGCGCCGAATCTAACCATGCACTAGACTATGATGGAGGCAACATGCCTATACTGTTAGTGCACCGTAACACTGTCTGTTTGACTAGTAAAATCGCATGCTACTGTAGCCAATCTAGTTTAACGTGAGGTGGTTGCCCGGGGAGGTGGCAGTTCATCCTTTGATTGACTGCAACTCCCTGGCTGGGTCTACTTCAGGTTCGTCTGAGGGAAATTAGACAAAGGAGGTATGGCCAGTTTTGGGAAAAAAACGCGCGATGATGGCTTCAAATACAGGATGTATTGTAATATCTATAGTTATAGGTATATAGATACAGCATTACTTATCCAGTAACTACGCCTTTCTCACACACA